GTTCCATATGGGTCAGGGAAGACACACAGGGAATGAGTTGGTGACAGTGCATGAGGGTGTATAAGAAGTTTGGGTTGGGAATAAAATGTAGCGGGTTAACATGAATTTGGGGAGTATGTGGGAAGGAGTGAGCCAGGAAAGATATGGGGTTTGGGTTCTTTCCCCTCATTCTTCCTTTCCTTTCCTTTCCTTTCCTTTCCTTTCCTTTCCTTTCCTTTCCTTCCCCTCCCTTCCCTTCCCTTCCCTTCTCCTCCCTTCCCTTCCCTTCCCTTCCCCTCCCTTCCCTTCCCTTCCCTTCCCTTTTCCTTTTTTCTTCCCCCTCCCATTCCTTTGGAAGGACTAAAGAAAGACTTAAGAATTAAGAAAATGAAGTACTTCTACACAATGAGCATAATTCAACTCTAGAATTCAATCCCACAAGTTGTGGCAATGATCATTACCTTGAATGAAATTACAAAGGGATTGGATGAATTCATGGAGGACCACTCTATTATGGCCTATGAGACTTAGGGCAAAATTACAATGTTGGAAAAAGCAGCATTCCAAATACCAGTTGCAGAAGAACAATGATGGCAGAATGATTGACATGGTCTTTAACCTGAACCAAGAAGGCTGTTACATGTTATTATTTAAAATAGAAAAATTGGAAGGGGCCTATTTGCCTACAAATTGGAATCAGAGGAAACTTTGACCAAGAGTCTTATTTCGGCAGCTTTGAGACCACAGAACTACAGAGGATTCAAAACAGATTTAGGGTAATATAAAAAATTAAAATATTTGTTAAATTAATAGGGAAAAAAAACCTTGCATCCTGTAAATATTTGTTTAAAAAAATTCGGTGTCCATTATTGTCCTCCTGTCCAGAACCAAATGCATGTGTTGAGATAAATCACTGGGGTTGATTTTTTAATCTCACTTTTCTTTGAGATTAGGAATAGATGAAACTGCTTAGGTGAGAGTACTAAGTATGGGAACAGTAAAATCAACCCAGCATCAATTTCTGGATGTGTTGCTGTTCGTAGAGCTAATGGGTTCACTCTGCCATCTTTCTTTCTTTTAATTCTTCTTTAAACAAATGGGTTTAGAGATCAGCTGATCTGACATGAGAAATTTTGCTTAATCTTAAAACCATGCTTCTTCTCAATTGCACTAAACATTGACGAAGACAGCTGCCTCCCCTCCTCTAAAGGTTATTAAGCTCAGTTTAAAATGACAGAATTCTGCCTCTGTGAAAAGGAACAAAAAAACCCTTGTAATTATGCACTGTGGAAATGCATCAGGTGAACCACTAATCCCCTAGATTTTTTAAAAGGCCAGTGTAGATACCTTAGATAGCCTTATGTAAGTATACGCTAGCAAATACTGTAAAGGAAAGTCGGATGCCCTCATATATTCTGCCTCTTTTCTGTGGGCCTCTTTCCCTTCAACTTTACATTCTATAAAATGGTACAGTAGGAAACACTCTTTTGAAACAGAGATGAGTCTCCTTCTGATGGCTTTTATCACTATGAATCCTGATAATGCCAGATTCTTAATTGTTCAAGGTGGTTCTGTGAGTAGATGAAACCCCCAAACTGATTTTTTTTAAATTAAAAGAGATCATTCAGTCATGTGAGCCCCATCTTCATCCATCTGAAGTGATACAATTCTGATAGAGTTCAATTAGCACAGGAAGGTTAGATCTAAGAGTGTAATTCTGGAAATGAAGGGCCTACTGGAGGCTCTCCTTGCCTTTTGATTGTTCAAAACTTCTGGGAGAACTTAAGATGAATCTCTTGTATACTTCAACAAAAGAGAATAAAGGTGTTATTTTGCCAGTATGAAAGCTGAGAATGTTCTTTTTTCATAGCTGCTGGCACAAAGTACATGATATCCTATTTAGAACTAAATCCTATTTTTTTCAGCCCTATGCCAGCATCCAGGTAGGAGCAAACCAAAAGACTTTCGTGTGCAAATGCAGTTTATTTCTTTGAGGGAGATTTCAGTGCCACTTTCAAAATTTCTGAAGCTTTCAAGCAAGCTTCCCTCTAACTTGGAAGAAAATGGTCATGCAAAGAGAGAATAATGGTCCTATAATTATGGTGTTTTAATAGAAAATTAACCTCTCTTCAGATGCATGGAACTAGTATACCTTATTTGGATCTACCATTATATTAATATTGCTAATCAATAAACAATGTTGGTGCCTTAATTTTCTGATAACAACAATTAATCGTATTCCATAGGTTAAATTTTAGGATTTGATGAATTCTAACTAGATCTTAAAGGGCTCAGTGGCTAAGACGCTGAGCTTGTCAATCAGAAAGGTCAGCAGTTCGGTGGTTCGAATCCCTAGTGCCACATAATGGAGTGAGCTCCTGTTACTTGTCCCAGTTTCTGCCAACCTAACAGTTCGAAAGCATATAAAAATGCAAGTACAAAAATAGGAACCATTTTGGTGGGAAGGTAACTCAATGCACCTTTGGTATTTAGTCATGCTGGCCACATGACCACGGAGATGTCTTCGGACAGCACTGGATCTTCAGCTTTGAAATGGAGATGAGCACTGCCCCCTAGAGTCAGTAACAACTATCACATATGTACAAGGGGAACCTTTACCTTTACCTTAATTCTGTTTATGATAACTTTCACCAGAAATTAGTAACAAGAACTCAGAAGGGGGTGATAGCTTTCTCCTATGTCTTGTGGTTTGCAAGGTTTCAGAAGTGATATTACTTTGTCTTTTTTGAATTCCGGTAGGAGGTGTCCGCTAGAAAGTATGTTTGAAAAGAATTTGCTGAGCCAATTCATATTCTAGTTTTATAGACTATTCTTAAACACATTACTTTTACATTAAACATCTACCTTCTACAATTAAAAGATGCATTAAATTAAGCCTGGAATTAAATTAAGAGATGGAAGACAGTTCAGCATCCTTTTGAGAAATAAAATATGAATGGGCCATAAAAAGGGTAATTGCATGATAACTGAACCAATAAATAAATAAAAAAATTATTCTATTTCCTGAATGTTAGATTACAGATATTACAATGAAAAATTCAGGTCTGTTTACTTTCTGAAGTTAACAAACATTGTACAAACACTTGACCCCTCCTCCTCCTCCCTTCTGGTGGGATGGATTGCGCCAATGGGCATTATATAAAGAAAGGCTGTAGACTGGCTCCTGTCTTGCACTCATAGCCACCATGGGGCCAGAGGTGACCAGCCTATTGTTGCTAGGGCTGGTATTTTGCTATGCAAGTGAAATTAAAACAGGTAAGTTGTTTAACAAATTTGCTTTATAAGTGGCCAATGGGCAGCCTAAAGAGCACTCAAGGCTTGTTGTAATGCATATCAGACAGGCTTTCAAATTCTCCAATGATTATGTAGGGCTTTGAAAATAAGGAAGGTAATTGGGTGCTTGTAACAAGAGAGTTTATCGAAACAATAGTCTTGTTGCATTGCATTTTTTAAGGATGCAAAGTGCACCTTCTAACTCCTTATTTAACAAAGTATCTAAGCATTTATTCTATGTAGAGTGACAGTTAATCTGGCCAGTATGATTCAGTTTCTATGAATGTGATCAATATTTGCTACACAATTTGTTAAACTAGATGCACTTTGACTGTGTTAGTGATGTAAATTCTTTTGTTTAATTTTGTTCTATCTGCTGTTATCTTGTTGAATTCTGGTCAGTGAACATAATAAATATAATATTAACAGTACTAGTAGGGAGGGTATCACTTTGATGTACTATAATGTCCATTTCAGCACTGGGATATCAATTGTGATTTATTTATTAATCTTCAAATGCTAAGGTCCTGCAAATAGAGCAAGACTTATCTAAATATCCCTACTGTTAATGAATATAACTCGAATCAGCAACTTTTTTATTTTTAATTTAAAATGTTAATTAAAAATCTTCTCTTATTTGGTATAAGTGGTAGCAATTTTGTTTTAAATGCTTCAGTATCACAGTAATCCAATTGCATTAATAACTCACATTAATAGGTAACACTCTCCTTCTGCTTCCCATAGAACAAAGATCTTGTTATGCTACAAAAAACCCCAATATTTGTGCCTCTTTTTCATTCTCTATGTGTGCATATTTCTTGAGATGATGCAATCAACAATGGTAATATAAAATGCTAACATTTCAGTCAAACATTTGATACTGGCAAGCTTTCCCCATTCCAAGACTGTTTAAATTGTTTATTTTCACTTAATTACTTAAGTGTCATTGATCTGGATTTTTTTTTGCTTCATAATGGTCTTTAATGGTTATTTGTCATCACATTTTTGTCTTTTCAGTAAGAAAAGCTAACCATGGCCACTTTGTCTGCAGCACCTGGGGAAATGACCATTTCAAAACCTTTGATGGAGATTTTTACCAATTTCCTGGGGTCTGTGATTACAACTTTGCTTCAGACTGCCGAGAAAGTTATAAAGAGTTCTCTGTTCATATCCAGCGTGAGCAGAATGATCAAGGTCACCCTAATATCAAATATGTTCTTGTTACAATCAAAGATGTTGCTATTTACCTCACTCACAAGATGGTTGCAGTAGATGAGCAAATGTAAGTTCCTCTGATGTGGTTATGTTTCCAAGTATGCAGTCTTCGAATTCTGAAAATCTTTCACAAAAATTTCACTGTAGAAGCTTTAATATTGCAGAAGCTATGGCCCAAAACATTCAGAAACTACGTTGTGTAGAAACTCAAGCTATGTTTTCAAAAGAAATGTTGCTTTGAGCAAAGTTTGAAGTAAGGTTGGAATTCTTCAGATAACTTTCAAGAGAAGTACAAAATAAGTTAGAATAAGAGATGTGAAATGACTTCAAGGAGTCTATACATACACAGGTCATCACTAGTTTTCAACTAAAGGAAAATTTGGACTGAATTTAGGCAGGATTATTCAGGAAAAATATCTGAGGCAACAGAAGTTTTAGTCACTACTCCTAAGGCTCGCACACCTCTGTTACTATTAAACACTCAGCGCAGAGCCTAATAATGAAACTAGATCCTGGACTGTTGTATTTCAATGCGCTTCAATATTATTCTCAGCAATTTCATTCTCAATCCAGAGGAGAATAATATTTTTCAACTTTTCATCTGGTCACATTTCACCCAAATGCCTTCCATATTCAGTTCCCTCCTTGTTTTATAGTAGCTTCACCTTGTTGACTTTTAGAACAATTGTTAGTTAAACATCATAATGCCAACTTATAAAAATACAACTGAGACTCAGAGAGAGGTTGTACTGAAAGCTGCCAAATGAAGTTATGTCAATGTTGATCCACTGCATAGGTACTCTTTAGATCTAAACACTGGACTTCACTAGAATTCCATCTGTACCCTACAAGAAACAGCATAATGACCTTGATTTTCTCTATGCTACAAACACTCCAATCTGACAATATCTACTGATAACTTTTTCCTATACTACTAAGGGATTTTGACTTAAAATTGAACGGTCATTACTAGAGATCCAGCCAAGTTCATGCTGAATATAAAGCAGGAAGATTAGAAAGATTAGAAGTATACTACCAGATTCCAAGTATGCTAGTTCTATGGGGGAAGGTCCCTTTTAGGCAGTAGATATACTGGTTCTATATACTGGCGTAGAAGCTTTAGTTGTTTTTCTCCTTTAGCATAGGTGAGATAAGTGATGGTAGTTTTTCCCCCCCTTTAATTAGCATTTTACATTCCTGACCAGATTATTGAATTTTAAACCCATGGTTGGGTAATTGGCTTAAGAAAACATATTCATTCTCTTAATGAATCTTATTATTTCTCTTTTCCTGTAATATGACCTGTTCCATTATTCTAGGGTTGACTAACATTTTACTTTGCAGCAAATCTCGCAAATGACTAGAAAACCTGTATATAAGATCCTGCTCAGCATAGCACAGGGAAAAAACCCGAATCTACACAATACTTTTCTTTTAATCTCAGAAAAGGTTAAGGACACACAAAACTTATCACAGTCTAATATTATTACTGCGGCCATTGAAGTCTTATTTATTCCAATCTGTTCTGTAGCTTTGCATTCAAGTACTTTCCTCCTGCTTTGCCCCCACTGCTGTTAGGATGCCTTTCAATGTCTCTCCACATGTATAGGATGCTTCCATCTAAACTATTGGTAGACTGAAAGAGAGAGAGTACAATTATTTCAGTAAACAAGGGAATGTGTCTTAAAATTTGATAGCGGTAATCATATATAGTGACCTTGCAGAAAGTTATTATTGGAATTAGCCTGACTGGAACCAATTAACATTTGGTGTCTTTTAATATCATTTTTGTAAGTGATGCAGAGGCTTAGTAGCCAAGATGCTGAGCTTATCGATCAGAAGGTCGGCAGTTTAGAGGTTCAAATCCCTAGTGCCGCATAACAGAGTGCACTCCCTGTCCCAGCTTCTACCAACCTAGCAGTTCAAAAGCATGTTAAAAATGCAAGAAAAATAGGAACCACTTTTGGTGGGAAGGTAACAACATTCTGTGTGCCTTCGGCGTTTAGTCATGCTGGCCACATGACCACGGAGACGTCTTCGGACAGCACTGGCTCTTCAGCTTTGAAATGGAGATGAGCACTGCCCCCTAGAGTCGGGAATGACTAGCAAATATGTGCGAGGGAAATACATTTTTATTCCCTGTTACCAGATTTTCAGAGGTTTATGGAAGAAGTTAGTAAAAACAGTCCACTTTTCTTTAAACCAAGGTTCTTTTTCCCGTTGGCTACGCTGGCCAAATTTCTTCTAGCTTATAGAAGTATAGGTTTTACTGAAAAAGGGAACTGCTTCTAACCAACAGTATATTTTTTCTTGTTGGCTTGACTGAGCTATTATGATTGCACAAATACAGAGCCAAACTCGGATACAATATGGAGTGGTGGGTGGGATCAAATCAGGCAACACTTCAAACATATTAAAATTCTGAAAAACCAGCTGTTTGAATGTAAAATAGACCAGAGGTACAAAGTAATTCCTCACTAATTATAGAAATATGATTGACTTCTAATGCTTGAGCCGTCCATTGCAATAGTAACCAATGCATGCACTTTTCTGTCATCCTTCTCTACAGGGTAAAGACTCCTTATTATGGTTCTGGTGTCCTGATTGAGATGAACAATATATATACTAAAGTCTATGCAAAAGTGGGCCTAATTCTGATATGGAACAAAGCAGATGCTTTGATGGTATGATATCAACTTCTGGCTGATATATATCACACAGACAACTGGTAGCAATAGCACTTAGACTTATATACCAATTCACAGTGCTGTTACAGACCTCTCTAAGTGGTTTACAGAGTCAGCATATTGCCCCCAGCAATCTGGGTCCTCATTTTATTGACCTCAGAAGGCTGAGTCGACCTTGACCTTGGTGAGATTAGACTGGCCAAATTGCAGGCAGCTGGCAGGTAGCAGAAGTAGCTTGCAGTACTACACTCTAACCACTGCATCACCATGGCTCATACTCTGATACTCTCTTTGTGGTTTTTTTTTTCTAGCACCAATGATAGGTTTTAGAATAATTGTATCCCATTGGTTACCTTTGGCTAGGTGAATGCAACTTGAGCCAGCATAACTTGTAAGGGCTTTTTCATACATCAAATTATTCAGATAAAGAGTTAGCATTATAAATATGTCCTGTTGCAAAATACCCTGTTCTGTATCAGAGAATTGCTTTAGGAAATCAGCATTTATACAGGAAGTCCTTGACTTAAGACCACAATTGAGCCCACAATTTATGTTGCTAAGTGAGAAATTTGTTAGGTGAATTATCCCCATTTTACAACTTTTCTTGCCACATTTGTTGTGAATTAAGTGAATCACTGAAATTATTAAATTAGTAACATGGTTGTTAAGTGTATTTGGCTTCCCCATTAACATGGCTTGTCAAAATGTCACAAAAGATGATCATATGACCTTGGGACACGGCAACAGTCATAAATATGAACCAGTTGTCAAGCATTCAAATGTAAATCACATCACCATGGAGATGCTGCAACGGTCATACATGTGAAAATGATCATAAATTACTTTTAAGTTATCTTGTTAAGGATCTCAGCATATTAAAAAAAACATTCTGTATGCTTGAGATACTGAACCACCATCATCAATCAAAATATCCTGGTTTTATTTCTTCCATGTAGATTGAGCTTGACTCTAAATTCAACAATTATACTTGTGGCCTTTGTGGAGATTATAATGGACAAAATATCTACAATGAATTTATTTCAAATGGTAAGTAGAGCAATACTACAGAAAGCACTCTACTACAAACTGGAGAACATGCTTTAAATGGAGAACTGACAGTCAAACGATTGTTTAAATCACACATGGAACACCTTATTTTTTTCCAGGCAAATTACTTTGTAAATGAGAATGTACAATGACCTATATATTCTAAATTTTAACTAAATTATAAGGTCATTAAACTAAGTTAGCAGATCTTGATTTACTATTAATATAGTAAAGATAGTAAATCGTAAATCGTAAATCGTAAATCGTAAATAGTATAGTATAAATATTATAGTATAGTAAATTATACTTAATATAATATTGTTCACTGTATAATTAAATCTGTTTTTAATATAGTCAAGGGAACTCAAGGGTGGTATATTTAGAGCAATGGCATTCACTTTACCAACTGTATGTACTACTTCCACCAAATCCAAATTAAATTCTTAGGTTCATGCATTCTTCCATGAAAATAAAATGAAAAAACCCACATTCAAACAGATCCTTAAGCATATGAACACCAACAACTAGAATAAAACTGTAAAAGATTTATGGTAGAATAAGGAATTGTAGCTTCCAAGCAAAACCAGATACAAAACTAGGATGTTTTGTACCCTAGTTTACTTAATGTACAGTATATCATTTTTTAAAACATTTCTGTTGATCATCTGTCTTTCTTCCTGTTCTCAAAATACATTGTGTGGTATCCATAACACAACAGTGTGCACTCCTCTATATCTAGCTGATTTATCATATATGGATCTTTACATTTATCAGGATGCTAAGAATCATAAGCTGAGATTGTTTAAATACACCTTTATTGTTTCTAATAGGATTAATCTACAACCCAATCACATTTGGAAACCTACAAAAAGTTAATAACCCCACAACAACATGTGAAGACCCTGATGAGACAAAGCCTATTGAACTGTGCAAGCAGCATGTAAGTTCTCAAACCCTCATGGATTCTCAGAAATAATGAGAGATCAGCCTCTAATCCTGGCTGTTTTGGCTCCAGCAGTTTTCATTGAGAGCAGTGGCCCATGTTTCTAACAGCCCCAAAACTTGAATGCACAATTTTTGTTTACAGTTTTAATCAGTTGTTTTTTTATTATTGGAGGGTAATGTAAGGGAAACATCCATTCTTCTCTACTTTCTTCCCTTTCAAGCGCGAAGAGTGTTTCGCACTCCTAACTTCACCGGCATTTGCGGATTGCCAGAATCGCCTGAATCTAGAAAAGTATGTTCAAGCTTGTATGCAGGACCGATGTGCTTGTCAGCGTGGAAGTGACTCTTTCTGCCTCTGCAGTACCATCTCTGAATATTCACGACAGTGTTCCCACGCTGGTGGCAGTCCTCAGAATTGGAGGACCCCTCAGTTCTGCCGTAAGTAGCAAACTGGCTTAGATCATATTGATTGATTGAGTGAGTGACTGACTAGATTTATAAGGCTGCCTAACACAAATAGTGTGAGTCTGGGCACCATCCAAGAACAAAATGAAGTAAAAAAAAATTAACAGTGTGCAGGTATACTGCAATTCCTTTATTTTATGTCAAAATAACCCTGGAGATCCTCCATCTTCCATCACTGATTATTTATTTCAGTCCATTTCCAGGGTGCATCAGTGCCTTGGGAACTAAGCTGACCATAAAAAGTGTTAAAACAAAATAAGGAAAATTAAAACCCTTTGAAACACAGAAGAATTCAATCAATGTAAATTGTCAACTAACTATAGACCAAAAAAATAATACAAGACAGGCATTTGTGGCCTTATATTAACAACATTTAAAAACTTTTACAAAGGATTTCATCTATCTGGGTTTGGAGTTGGTTATCCACCCACTCGCCCATCCACCCATCCATCCCTTCATCCATCTATATCCACCATGATATTTCTGAGCAAATTATTCAAAGCATAAAAAGGAATAAAATAGCAACCAAAGAAAGTAATGGCATGAGAAAGGAAAAGAAAGGAAGAGACACACGTGTATCTAGTTTATAGCATGTTGACTATACCACTCAAGAATTAAATTCTTGTAAACCAGCCTTGTTTCCATCACACTCATAAAACATTAAATTAGTTATATTTTGCTATATATAGCTCTGCCCCTTTTCCACTTTAAATACAAATTTTTCAATTCTCTGTCTTTTTACTATTTTCCATCCTTTTGTTTTGTGGTTTGATCCTCATTCATTTTCTTCATATGCCTTAATGGATTTCTTTCCTACTGGTCACTTACTTTGTATTCAACTCACATTCATTTGATATCCTTTCATTCTTGATCCTGTCTCTTCTTGTTTTACCAGGCATGCTTAAGTCTCATTCCCACTTCATTCAATTTACTTTTATTTCTTTCCTTATTCACCTAACATACTTTCTTATAATAGGCAGAAGCATACATAGCCCATTTTGCTTCTGTCATTCTTCACAGCAGACCAGATATTACCCACAACTTTTCTGCTAGAATTTGCATATTTTATTTTGCTACTTTCCCCATCTTTAGAAAAAAAAGCTTGCCAAGAGATATAAATTCATCACCTTGAGTGTGGTTTTTTTTTGCCATTTGTGTATAACTAATAATTGGTTTCTCTATTTCTTTTTTATTTTTATTAGTTTATAATATAAAATACAAAAAATACAAAAGAAAATAGTAAGGGAAGGATAAGGAAAGGAAAAAAATACAGGGCAAAGGGGAAAAAGGAAGAAAAGGCAATGTCTTCCGACTCTGGTGCAGTAGAATAAAATAATAGCATCAATCCTCAACTTTTTACTTTTGCATAGTAATATAAATTAGCCATTTTGATAACAAACCAGTGGTGAGATCCAGCCAGTCCGCACCTATTTGGGAGAACCGGTTGTTAACTTTCCAAGCAGTTTGAAGAACTGGTCATTAGAAGAAATCTCATTTTGTTTTCTTCCACTTTACAGGGGTAATCCTGTAAGGAAGGCAGGAAGGAAACATTCTGGTGTTGTTTCTAGCTGAATCTTTATTGCCTGCTTACAGAAACTGCCTCTCCAGTTAACCCTTATTACATTGTAATAGCTAAGACAAAGCACCCATCGGCGTGAGTGACATTGAGTTGGCCATGCCTACTCAGTCACATGACCACCGAGTCACACCTACTCAGCTGGTCATTAGGGCAGAGAACTGGTTGTTAAATTATTTGAATCCCACCACTGTAACAAACCTATCTAATTGGTCAAACCCAAAATCATATTTTTCACCTCAAGCACAAAGCTGGCATCGGACCTGGGTACCTGAGAGACCGCCTCCTGACAATTACCTCCCAAAGACCGATTTGATCACACAGACTGGGACTTCTCTGGGTTCCATCTGCCAGCCAATGTCGGCTGGTGATTCCCCGGGGGAGAGCCTTCTCTGTTGCTGCTCCGGTCCTCTGGAACGAGCTCCCTGTGGAGATCCGGACCCTTACTACCCTCTAGGCATTCCCGTAAAGCTACCAAGTCCTGGCTGTTCCGGCAGGCTGGGGGCTGTTGAAGTATCCAGCCCCGCTTCAATTGTGAATGTTGTGTGTTTTTAAATTGTTGTATTGTCCTATTTACCCCCCTTTCCCTGTTTTATTGTGAACTGCCCGGAGTCCTTCGGGAGTGGGCCGCATACAAAACTAATAAAACAAACAAACAAACAAAACAAAACAAACAAAGTCCAGAAGTGGTTTCCAAGTAGAAACAAAAGTAATTGTGTGTTTTTCTTTAATCAAAGCAGTCAATTTAGCCATCTCTGCTAACTCCATCAATTTTTGCAGCCATTCATCCATTGTGGGAATCAAAGTGTCCTCCCATTTTTGTTCATAAAGTAATCAGTTGCTTCCTCTATTTCTGTGGGCAAAACAATTAGCTTGATCATTCATATCTTCATTTTCAAATCCATTCACCACACTGTAGTCCAAGATTCACTGCAAATCATTTGGATTTACAGTCAACATGGTATAATCAGCACACAATGGTTTTAAAGAATTTAGTTCCTCATAATGCAATTCTGTTGTGTGTTTGTCCACATAGATAAATGGACTTTTGTCCACTAAAAAAAAAGTATGTTTCCTAATCATTGCCTTATTCTTTTAGCGAGGTCATGTCCCAAAAATATGATTTACCTGGAAAGTGGTTCCCCCTGTATGGACTCCTGCTCGCACCCGGAGATCAGCAGGCTATGTGAAGAGCACTATATGGATGGCTGTTTTTGCCCCGAAGGTAACAATTTCAATGTATAAAAGGTTGGGTGGGAAATTCAAAATTAAATCCCTGCTCAGTTGGATGGTTGAGGCCAAGCTGATTAGTCCCTTTTCATAATTATTTGTGCTTAGTTCAATAGTAAGTGAACTATTTGTGCTCATTGTAATAACATATCAGTAAGCAGTAGTATATAGTTGTTTCACAGAGATTTAACTATGAGAAAATATATATATGAAAAAAATGTAATTTCCCTTCAAGAAATAGTGAGGTAGTAATATTAGAAATAATTTTTTAAAAAAATTGTCAGCATTAAGCAAAAGTGATGATCTCCCTTTGGAAGAAGCATCATTATTGCCATCTATCATAAGCTCAGAAAAGGAACAGGAAAACTTTTTTTTATTATAATTGAATGCCATATTTTTTGGGGGGGAGGGATAATCATTCAGATGCCTGATGCAGTGGACCAATTAGAGTCAAAAATGAGTGGGCCTTTTGACCCACCCCTCTTTTCTCTTTGGATCTCTTTCTTTTTTCTTTTTCATTTTTAATCCCATTATCAGGCTAATGGGACAGTTTGTTCTTGAACATGACCTGAACTGAATGTTTGCAGAAAACATCTCAAATCAGGACCTCGTGAAATTAGACTAAGAACATTAAAAGACCTTGCAAAGCTTGTTCACTTTTGCCGTGAATCTATTACTCATACTCTCTACTCTTCAATGAAATGTAGTAATTAGCTAGGAAATTGTTCTTATATTGGTAATGTGTTCTTCAACATAATTTAATGGAATTTCCTTTTTTTTTGCCCTTTAGTAGTAATTTTGGTTGTCATGCTTTATTAATAATCTCTTATTTCACTTTTACAGGCACAATATATGATGATATCACAGGGAATGGCTGTGTGTTGTTAAGCCAATGCCACTGTAAACTTCATGGAGAAATATTCGCCCCCGGTCAGAAAATTTCCAATGAGTGTGAAGAGTGGTAAGAATGCCAATAGCCCATCATTTCCCTATTAACACTTATAGTAATTTTTAGAGTAACTCAATCATTGTTATGTCAAAATGAGGACAGGATTTATATATCATGTCAATAATGACAGAGTGATCCTATTTAGATACTTTACAGAAACAGCCTGAGAATAAGGAATGCTTGTTCAAATAATAATACTGTAATTTCCTTGCATTACCAGTGAACTTCCCTCCTCTTGGTTTTAACCCAATACCTTATATTATTTTACACTGAGTAAACATGCAAAGTCAAATTAAGAAAGTTTGCATTTATGTGGTATAAATAGCAGTAGCAATAGCAGTTAGACTTATATACCGCTTCATAGGGCTTTCAGCCCTCTCTAAGCAGTTTACAGAGTCAGCATATTGCCCCCACAGTCTGGGTCCTCATTTTACCCACTCAGATGGAAGGCTGAGTCAACCCTGAGCCGGTGAGATTTGAACCGCCGAACTCCAGCTAGCAGTCAGCTGAAGTGGCGGCAGTACTGCACTCTAACCACTGCGCCACCTCGGCTCTCTCGACAAATGAGTGGTATGAAGTCTAACTGCTATTGCTACTGCTATTCTTCCTCTCCTCCTCCTA